ATCATGACGCCCACCGAAATGGGCACCAAGGCCAACGAGGCCGAGGACACCATCTTGGGCGAATCCGCCTACGAGTTCATCAACACCGACGATGAGAGCCATGATGGCCCGGACGGCCCTGCCGAGTCTCTCGACTCGTATGAATACACACAGACCGATGACGTTCACAGTCTGGCTGGCACAGAACAGTCGAGCGAGGGCCTCGACACCGACTCAGAGAGCGATGGCGAGGAGCAAGAGCAAGACGAGGAACGACACCAACACGATGAGGAGGCGGAGAAGAAATCACACGCATATGTGGAGGAGAGTCTTAGCAGCCCCTCATCTTCCTGCGATATGACTGCCGACGACGAGTTCCGCCACTATTCCAACATCGGGAAGCAGATCAACTTTGCAGAGCCCGACGCCGGTGCCGATAACGTGGCCAACATTGAGGTCATGCACACCATTCGGGAGTTGACCATCGGCGAGGCGGCCACTGTTGCTAAGAACATGCACCTCCCCAAGATCCCTGAGCGCCTGACACTCAGCATCCGACAGACCATGGATCACGACTGCTTGGCCATGTCAGCACAAAGGCCCCTTCATGTGCTGTATGTCGGCAACACGAGCCCGCGCCACCGCATTTTGCGTCGCATCTCCACTGCCCTCAACGCGCACAGCCCAGGCCTCATCCGTCCAGTCGGCGGCGGCGAGGGCATCTATAATGTAGTGCCCAACACAATGCCCGGCAACCTCTCGACGCCCTATGAGGAGTTTGTGAAAATGATTCCTACAAACACAAAGGTCGAAACGTGCATGCATGCAGAAGAGACGGTCTACGTCTCCGACTCGCTACCTGTCGAGACTATTTTCACCATGGCCCTTGAGGATGGCACGACGTATAATTCGGCCCACCCCGCCAATAGCGGCCCCATCGTTGAGCCCACTTACGAGCTGCCCCACATGGCCGTCTTCTACATCACGGATCAGGCTGGCGAGGCTGCCCGACGAACGCGCGATGCCGCTTGGGGGTTCATGAACCGCCATGGTGTCCCGTGCATCTTCATCTCCAGCGCACCGGGCTTCGACGAGTCCTCCGCCAGCTGGTCGAAGTATGTTGACCCGGCGGCTGTACATCTCCGTCTCGAGTCTTCGAACTCTGCCAATCCAGCGATGCGCATGCCAATTGATCTGGCTTCTTTCCTCGCCATCGATCCGCGTCAGATGAATCGAAATCTCGCCCACCTCACGGGTCTAGCGGAACGGTCCAAAATGCAAAAGGGCCTCTACAGCCGTGTCGTGATGACCGGAAAGAAGGTGATGAAGGCTTCGTTAACCGCCGACTCGCTGGCCGCGAGTATCCTGCAGAAAATCCTAAGCGCCATCTTCGTGCTTGGTCTGGTGTATGGTCTCGACAGCTATCTCTACAGGAGTCATTCAGATAGCCCGGCGCCATATGTGAGCTTGCCCAAAACCACGGTTGCCGACCTCACGACCTTGATTCCTGATTCTACGCCTGATTCTACGAGCGTCATCAATCTCACGTCATCTAGCACAGCTGTTGACATTCCACGCATTGTCGCTACACCCGGGAATGTCGCTCTGATGCCATTTTCCAACCTCTTCCCCGACATACTTCCCGACGCTAGTAAGGGGAATATTGTCTGCACAGCCGAACTTTATGGCCAGCACGAGATCCTGATCAAAATACCTGTCGGCACAAAAACTACGTGGCTCAACAAGGATTCCATTACGATTGACGTCCTTCGTGATGGCCAGATAGTTAAGACCAAATTCTCTTCCGTCGATGAAGGTCTTGTGCTGGATATTCCTAAGCGTGATGCCTATGGTGTTGTCGCGGTCACCGTCGTCACAAACCGCAGGCCGAAGATCAACGAGACACTCGAGGTGGATTTTGGTAGGGGAATCCTCACAGAAGCACTCCACGGCGGCAAGCGCTTGCTGTTTGACCTAGCCAGCACAGCCTCAGAGGCAACGAGCAGCCTGAAAGAGCAGGCCCTCGTCAAGGCTCAGGAAGTCTCGGACTACGGAATTGGAGCCTCGGACAGCCTCAAGCATACCGTTGTCGAAAAGTGGCACGAGATTGAGTCCGACTTGGCGGAACGGCTGCACAGGACGGCAGAGTTTTCTGACAAGTTTGATCTTTCTGTTGTCACTGCTCAGATCCAGTCGCGCCTTTGGTGGCTCCGCATTCAAGGAAAGATGGAAGAGCACGCCGAGTACGAGAAGAAGGCCAGGGTATTCCTCGCCAGAAGGCGTGACGAGATCCACAAGGCTGGTCAGTCACGCAGTAAGACACATCACAATGTTTCTGCGTGCCAACCTGGCGGCTCCCGGTGGTCGAAAAGGTGCGGTGACTGACACCAACTTCGATGAGAGTCGACATGATTGAACGAATTGGGGCCGCTGGGCGAAATAGCTTATTGGGGTTTTCCGACATGGCGTTTACGTGTTTCGGTTTTGCAATATCGGAGGAAGGGTTTACTGTCACTCCATACATACCACTTTACTGTTTGTCGAAAGGCCCATCTTGAGCCGCCTTTTCTCTTCTCTCATACCCACCCCTCCTCTGTCGATGCAGGGGACACAGAGCTTGAAAGTGGACCTTGAAGGCAAGGTTATGGATGCGTGCCCTGGCGTTCCTATGGAAAGAAACTCATTCAGGGCTGGCGTCTTTCCTCGAGTTTTGCCTAGCTTCTGGGTCGCGAGACGAAAGTATAGGTACGTTGGCAGTTAATAAAGCAATGAAGTGTGACCCGTGGTCGAATCGTGTGATTGCCTGTGACCGCCTACTTACGAGGCTCACTAAGGGGGACAGGGTGGCAAACTGGAGGGCAAGGCAGCTCCGTTGGCGACCCCACGATAGCTACTGTTAGTACCGTAAGGTATGGAAAGACAAGTCGCGGCCCCGCGTGGGTGAGAGCGTGGGTAGGTACCTTGCTCGAAAGGTGTGTCACTCAAACCCGGGTCGGTGTAATTGGGACAGTGCGCTGGACGAAAGGCCCCACTTAATCGCAGGTTGTGAATGAGGGGCTCGATCGCTGCCTCATTTTGGCTCGCCCACTTCGACCTGACATCCATTTGAAAAACATTGCAGCGATTACCTCCATCACGTTTGCGGAAGCTATCTGAGACCCTTACGAATCACCTTTACCACAGTAAGTTTCGACTGTACAAGTACTGCCCATGCTGGAAGCTCCTCCTTATTTACGTCGATACACGTTCTGCTCCCCACCGTCAGACATTTTGGGGGGAAAAGGAGGGGCACTGCGCCTAAATCTGGCGGTGATGGCTACCGAGTCTGGAGGCTGACGAGATTCGTTCGCGCCGCAGGAAGATCACAAGCACTCCGAACGTACAACTCCCCCCCCTTTGACCGAACATCATGTCTGCGCCCGAAGCAACCGAGCCCAAGGTTGAGGAGCCTAAGATCGAGGCGCCCAAGGCCGAGGAGACCCCCGCCACTGGCACCGCCGACGCGCCCGCTACCGAGTCCACCGGCGAGGCCGACAAGCCCGTGACGGCCCAGTCTTCCGTCTTCAGCATGTTTGGAGGAGGTGCCAAGAAGGAGAAGAAGCCCGAGGACGAGGACCGCGGCGACAACTCTGGCAGCAACAAGGCTCAGCGCGAGGCCGCTGCCGCCGCCGCCGATGACGAACAGGCCCCCGAGTCGGAGGACGTCCACTTTGAGCCCGTACACAAGCTGACGGAGAAGGTCGAGACGGCCACCAACGAGGAGTCTGAGGAGCAGCTCTTCAAGATGCGCGCCAAGTTGTTCAAGTTCATCAAGGAGTCCAGCGAGTGGAAGGAGCGAGGCACCGGTGACGTCCGTCTGCTGAAGCACAAGGAGAATGGCAAGACCCGTCTCGTCATGCGCCGCGACAAGACCCTCAAGGTCTGCGCCAACCACTACAGTGCGTCGAGTCGAGCTCCTACCTTGCTGTATTGCTTATGCTAACGATATGGAAGTCGTCCCCGAGATGAAGCTCTCCCCCAACGTTGGCTCTGACCGCAGCTGGGTCTGGAACGCTGCCGCCGATGTCAGCGAGGGCGAGCCCGAGGCCGCCACTCTTGCCATCCGCTTTGCCAACTCCGAGAGTATGTTAACGTTCTCTTATCTTACCTTGCAAGCAACTTACTAATCGTCACAGACGCCAACCTCTTCAAGGACGCCTTCCTCCAGGCGCAGAAGGACAACGAGGCGCTCTTCAAGAAGGCCGAGGATGGCGAGGCCTCCGGCGAGACCCCCGCCGCAGAGCAGTCGTAAAACCCTCGTACTCTTTTAAGATGGTTCATGAAAGACGAGGTCCCTGAATCACAGAATCTGCATGCACCAACTTTCCCCTGACACCCTCCTATCACACACACACACACACACACACTCACACATCACACGTACCGTTGCGAGTCGACACAATCGCTGATGCTTTTACCCTGACCATCGCTGATGCCATAAATGGCTCCCGTGGGGTGCCAATGAGCTCTGTGAGAGGCGCACAGAAGTGATCATGGTGAGGCTCTCTGGTTGTCGTGGGGGCAGAGCCATGTCCTAGCAGCCGGACCTGCCGCCCACCAGGCAGTGTAGATAGATTCCCACCACCAATGACACCATTCCCCATGAACATTGAATCAATAAAAAGAAGACAAGAAAGCCAGTGCGCTCGCTGCGGTGCAAGTACTGTGAAATTAATGCGTTGACTTGTGTATTTGGCGTAAAAAATGGTGAGGGGTGTGTGGCGGTTGGTATGTCATGGGGGTGTGGCGATAGTGGCGCAGTTTTGGCTTCAGCCTTCCCTCCTCCAACGTCACTACGCAACCTGTCCGGCCAACTTCTCCCTCTCGACGATACGATTATCCCACCGCATCACCCAGGCCCTCCATATCACGAAAGCGAATACGATCCACGACGCCACGGCGAGACAAGACTTTGTTGCTAGACCACCCAATAACCTTACACGAAAACGCGCTTTCCGAGGGAAGGTCACGACGCGGCCAACATGATTGTAGAGGTAAGCGCCCTTCGCGCCGCGACAGCGGCCAACCTTTACACGGTACTCTCACCTCCTGCCGCTGCATGCGATACACTCTATGTACCAAGACGAGACCATGGGCAGTGAAGCAAAGCCGTGTCGGCCCAATTGAAATGGATCGGCATCCTTCTGCAAAGCGCCCTCGCACCGAGCGGGAGCTAATCCTTGGAGTCGCTTCACTGGGGCGAACACGCCCAGGAGACTGCATCCTCAATCATGTTCTCTCAGTCCATTGAACCTCACTCTCTGCGTCCCCGTTTCCTCCAAGTCCCAATCGCTCCATCCCGCACCAGCGCGCGCGACGCGCAAAGCCACCCGCTTCCTGGTTGAGCCCGAGAGTGCTAAGTCTTATCGTGTCGCAGCGCAAAATCCGCCTTGTGACGGACCAAAATGTCATGTAAGTCTCCTCATTGAGTGCAGAGTGCTGTCAGGGAACTCAACTGACGCGACCACGACAGGCCCGACAAACCGGCGCAGGTCGAAGGCTTTCCCATGAGGAAATGGTCCGTCTCCATCTTCGTCTTGGACGAGGCAGGCGAGGAACATACGGCCGATTGCTTCCAGAAGGTCGTGTATAACCTTCACCCTTCCTTTGAGAACCCAACGCAAAGTATATCTAGTCGTGGCGACTTCCGACATACCACATTGTGCTAATCGTCAACAAGCCTTCCCCAAACCCCCCTTCACCTGCGAAAACGAAGGCTGGGGAGAGTTTGAAATGGTCATTGATTGCTACACGACGGAGAAGTCCAAGCAGTCCATCCCGCACGACCTCAATTTCCAATCCAACCACTACGTCTCCGAGCACACAGTCTCTTTTAAGAACCCAAGCCAGGCTCTTCAGCAGATTCTCCGCGAGACAGGACCTCTACCCAACGACGAGGACCGCGCCAAGCGCAAGGGCGCCGCTGGTGCCGCCGGCCCCAAGAAGGCCAGCCAAAAGTACGACTACGAGAAGATTGCCGATGGCCTCGGACGCCTCGAGGAGGATGACCTGCTGCGCGTGATCCAGATCATTAACGATAACCGGACCGAGGGCATGTTCATCAAGAGCGATGTGGACGGTGAGTGGCCTGGTCTCTCGTGCCCCAAAGGCAGCGCTGACGAATTCCCAGCCGGCGAGTTCTCGATCGACCTGTACTCCATGCCCGAGACGCTTACGAAGCTTCTCTGGGACCACCTGGTTCGTCTGCCTAGCACGGTCTCGTATGAATGCTTCAATCCCGCTAACCATTTCTGAAAGAACAAGAAGGGTCTCATCAGTTAGTCGGAGGATCGCATCCGTACAGGATGAGGGAGTCTACGTCATTCGCGAGGCTAGGCGTCTGGATCAGGAGGGCGGGGCGGGGGTATCTCATGTTTGATAATGGTCGTTCTCCGGGCTCTGGCACAGTGGGAGGGGCAGAATTGATCGCGCCCGGCTTCGGCAGCACACGCCAGCGCGCCCTGTGGCAGGGCTTGTTTGTAGAGAATAAGTCAAAAATCGAAAGGATATCGTTTCTCAATGGCGTTACGTGGGCCAGCAGCCGTTCGGACAGCAGCCGTTCGGATAACAGCCGTTCGGACAACAGCCGTTCCGACAGCAGCCGTTCGGACGGGAACATGGCGGAGCAGATTACGAAATCGAACATTGGAACCGTCCTAATCGATGCCTTCATCTAACTGTTCATATGCCTGGTGCGAGTGGCCGACCTGTCCCGGTCCATCCTCGCTTTTCATAACCGTAGGAGTTTTTACGAAATCATACCCAACGCCCCCCCCCTAAGTCCTGTATTACGCCACGCCACGCCAGAAACGAGGCCTCAACGAAACACCCGTGATACACAACTGTTCATGCGCCATAGTTTGCCCCGTCCATAACCGGGAATTGCGGATCCATGGCCATATACTCCAGCAGGTCGACCCCGCCAACGTTTAACCCCTCGGACGTCATGGCCACACCGTTCTCCATGTTCTGGAAGAAGGCCGCACCTGGTGGCAGGTACCACATTTCATTGCCCGGGTTTCCCCACTCAGATGAATCAAACATGTCCACCGTTGGGTGATCGATGGGGGGCGCCGGTGTCGAGGGGTTGAGACCCGAGGCCGACCCCGAAGGATAAGGAAAATTCCCGGCGCTCACGTCAAAGGGCGTCGCCGAGATGTTGGCCGCGATGTCGTCTGCAAGAAAGCGGTCAGCAACAAGCGACAGCCTTATGGCAAGGAAAAAAAAACAATACCTGGTGCACTGAGTCCATCACGGAGCCTGTTGGCGTGGGAAGACCAGTTCTGGCCCTCGCCGTTGGCCCCATGCCCGTGAACGCCATGGGCGGTGGGTTCCGGGCTGCGGCCGTCGCCCCCGGAATGCCCGAGGGTGGGAGCCTGGATGAATCTGGTGCGCAGCCTGCTGGTGAGAGACTCGAGCAGATCCGCAAAACGTATGCCGAGATGAACATCGTCGACGACGCAATTCCGTAGTGCCTCGACCGTCGAGTCCATCAAATCAATGCTCATCTTGACGTCGGAACGCGGAGCACCCAGCGCAAACGTCTTCAGCAAAAACATGGCTCCGCTGATGATGCGGAAATACGTCCGAACGGGCGCGTGCTTCAGGTAGTCACCCGGCAGCAGGCCCTCGACCACAGTCCTCAGGAGGTTGCGACACCCACTGATGACTTCCCTGATGCACTCTTGGTCGGTTGCACCGAAGCCGCCGAGCTGACCGAGAGGCAGCTTGCCAAAATAGTTTTGCGTCTGGGGGGACAGCTGAGTGGCACCAGCAAAGGAACCGCCTTGGGCCGCGTGCACAGTGTTTCCTGCATGACTCGCTGATCGCTCAACAACAGCCTGCAGCGACAATGAGTTGACATAGATACGTACATACTCGTACTCGATCGTCAGGACGTGGCGGATGAAGGGCGGCAAGCGGAAGCGCTCAAACTCCTTGTACCAGTCCGCCAGCAGAGGCCTAAACTCCTGCAGAAGCTCCGTGTACTTGCCACTCTGAATGATGTCGGTTGTGTGCCTTCGGTTGCGAAAGAGCTTTTCGTTGCCGAGAAACATAAGATTGCTAATGCCAGCCCAGCAGTGAATCATCTGGTCGTCAAGCTCCAGGTCGGGAATGTAGTTGAACGCGTTGGAGAAAGACGACGGGTTCGTGCCGGGCGTCGTGCCACCCTCGACAGAGCCGCCGGGCCGCTTACGGGAGACGGCTGGGTCGCTCTTGCGCAACGCCTCGGGCACCATGTTTGTCCAGCCAAGTCGACCGGCAAGTTGGGAGAGGTAGATAAGCAACAGCCTCTTGATACGGTTCGCACGCTGGCGGTACGATTCCTCCTCGTACTCGGGACGCGAGATGGCGCCACTGCGTAGCATCTCCTCGATATCGTCAAAGACACCCAGCTCGTAGGCAAGGCCGTTGGCCGTGCTGAGCAGCATCCAGCACATACGGTCACTTCTCCACGCCGGCTCGAGCCAACTCTCGATGCGCCGGCCGCCAATGCCGGCAGAAGGGCGTTGATTACCGTTCTCGTCTGTGCTGATGAGGTCGCCGCCTTCGTAGGACGGCAGCATCAGTTCGTCAATAGCCTCGTCCGGGGGGAAGTGCAGAGCACGAGGATGCCACTCTGTCAGGATCATGAGCGATTCGATGGTTCCCAGGGTGCGCAGGCTGCCCTTTCTCATGCCGCGCCAAGGCGCCGTGCTGCTGGTTTGGTCCTCCCCTCCAATGGCAGCAGCAACGCCCGGGGCACTGGCGCCGGTAGTCATGCTCACAAACCCGCCACCAAAGGCCTCCTGACCCCACAAACAACGCTCAATCATGCCACGCAGGTAATTCCATAGCTGCTCGTGGATAGCGTGCGAACGGCAGTGGCCTCCGGTGCCAGGGATCTTCCGGTAGCGTGACGAGATGGTCAGCAGCGTGACTGTGAGGATGGGCTCTTCGGTGAGAAGAGTCAGGTGGGAGGCAGGGTTGCGAAAGGTGGGTGGGGATATGGGCGTCAGCGGCGACAGGTACTCGTAGTAGTAGTCGATGTATTCAATGGCCTCTTGTGCGGTGAACCAGCCAGCTCTGACGAACCTGAACCTCTGCCAGGCTTTGACGGCGCTGGCATAACCAGGTTCGGTGGAAAGGTCACGAGGCCGCGCGAGATTGGGGTCTATCGGCTGCTGTTCTTGCTTGACGGATAAAGTCGGTCGGCGACCAGGCGGTGTCGGTCTTCCAACCGCGTTGGGGTTGACGAGGGATAGGGGTTGTTGGATGGATGCAAGCGACGCCGTGCTCTCGTGACGTTTGTGGGCCGGCAGTGAGCTGCATCAATTGTCAGTAGACGAACAAGAGGCGTCCCGTGTGTCGGGGAGGCGCGGGACTTACTTGTCTGTAGCCGCTTTATAGAGCAGGTCTAGAGCATCATGCGGGCCATAAACACCGGTGCGCAGCACGTCCTGGGCCTCTCTATTCTCCATGTGGGCATTCGACTCCTCCTCCGCGGCATAGTCGCCGATGCGCCTGCTGCCAGGCTGGCTGACAGTCGTGCTGGGAGTCGCAGCGAGGCGGGAACCATCGGGACGCGACAATGGCCTTTCTCTGCCGAGGCTGCCTCCGGGGGTCAGGGGCACATCGTTGTAGACGGAGCGGTCAACGGGAACATGCTGGCTATCGTTGGTGTTTAGTCGTTTTCGGCCATTGCGCATGATGTAATCGTCGGCGTCAATGTCGTCGTTGATGTCATTGCCATCCTCGGTCTTGCGCTTGCGTCTCGTGGCGCTGAAGAAACACTCCTTGCTCTCACGGCGACAACGCACACAGGGCGGTTCGTGGGGATTATCGACGCTGCCGAGGTCGCACCGCACCTTACGCCGGCGGCAGGGGATGCAAGCCTGATAGACGCGCTTATGCTGGGCAGCCTGGGTGCTGCCAGGCGCGGCTGCTCCGCTGGCTGCGCTGGCACCGGCGGCGGCCACGGTAGAGGAGCTCGCGCCGGGCAGCGACGGGCCGGATGAGGACGCCGGGCTCGTCGCATTGGGTGCCTGGGCGCCATAGGTGGCCATGATGACGGCGGGTACCGGTCAATCAATGGGGCCGGCGACAAGCAAGGGCGACCAGAAGAGACAGGGCGTACGAGGCTCCGGATTCGTGGGATGGAGTCGGAATGGCTGCAGTGATGGTAGGGTCGAGTCGAGTCGCGAGTCGCGAGAGTCGGGGGGAGATCGGTTTGCAGCGGGTTTAAGGAGGGGTTGGGTCGGTCTGGGGCGGGAGACGATGGGCTTTTTGTTGTAGCGAAGGGCCCCAGAGAGCGTGACCCGAGCGCCGGGCAATGGTTTTTGTCGGTCTGATGCGGGGTCGCACTGTTCCTGTCGTACGGCAGCGTGTGATTCGTGTGATTCGCCCCAATGGCTATGGCGCGTTCCCGTTGTCTTGATGACCGACGCCCTTTTCCCCAATCGATGGATGCTGTGGACGTTTAGGAGTCAACCAGCCAGCCGTGTCCTCGTTGCGAGATTGTGACCCAAGGCAAGGCAGGTCGCTGAGAAGCAAGAGCTAAAAGGACAGCAGGGTGCGTGTTTGCTCTTCTCGTGTCGGCCGGCTTGCCTCCAATGGCAGCAGCCTCCGCAACCACGGCCTGTGGTTCTTGCTCTGCGCCTTCCTTGTCAAAGCCAAGCACGATGCACTTGCATGACACCTGCCGTTACGGGATGCAGTGTTAGGTAATCGGCATTCCACCTTCCAACCAACATCCCCGCGTATCCAATCACGGGGACTACGGGCCTGCCGTCTGCTCGACCCCAGGAAGGAGAGGAGGGTGGAGAGCTCGCGCGTTCCATTCTTTCCGGCCGGACAAGCCTGGCAAGCCTGGTCACGAGGACCCTCATTTCCCCAGGTTAGGTCCGCCGAGCCTCAACAGCAACAGTCAGCTCGCAAGGGCCAAATGTTGATGCAGGAACACCCTCGAGGCCTCGTGACAGGTCACATGATGGCCAGAACAGCACAATGTTTTGTCTGATACCTAGCAACAACATACATGCCTTCCCGTGTCTTGTTCGTCGGCGGCAGACAGCCCTACTCGTCACTCACATGTCACATTAACGTCTGGCGCCCTGAGCTTGTATGTATAAAACGAACCCCTGGCCGTATTCGTTGTCGCGTCATAGGGTGAAAGTTGTACATGCAACGAGCGCAAGCAATCCTTTGAACTCTGTTCTGCCCCTGCAGCTGAGTGCGCTACGCAGATCCACCCTCGGCCCAGACACCGCCAGCCCCCATTATGTTTCCCAATGCCTCTTCGCTGGAACAGGAGGATCGCCACATGTGAACCGGTCCTGCTACCCTGTTGATCACCCACACCTAAGAATGGGCCAGAAAAGTCTACGTGCTGCCCTTGGATTCCTCCTTGGCCGTGTTTGCGGCGTTTGGTGCATTCTCTGCCGACGTGCTCACCTCGGGGGAGGTCTCCTCGGGGCCAGCAGCGTCAATGGGACCTGGCTCCTCCTCCACCGTTCCGTCGAGTGTCGTGGGTTTGAAGTCGTCTGGGGCCGAGCCAGGATCCTGTCCACGTCCGCTGTTGCTAGCCGAAACGCCAACGGCAGGCACGTCGCCGTCGAGAATCTTTTGTTTCGTGTCCCGCACAATCTTGTCAGCCTCGCTGGACTTGCCGCTACGCGTCGCGAGCTCAACGCCGATGGCGTTGTCCTTGTCGTTCTGGCTCTCGAGGAGCGCCGCCTTGTCAAACCGCACCACCATACAAGACAGGTTGTCCGTGCTAAATCTGTTGAGGGCGTGGTCCACGAGGTTCTTTGCTGCCGTGCTAGCATCCTCCACGTTGCGGACGAGGTCCACCGCCTCTTGGTCGGAGCAGACGTCCCAGAGCTGTGCTCATTAGTCAATCATCTCAAAAGAAATTCTAGAAACCACTTACGCCGTCGCAGGCAATAATAATAAACTCGTCACTCTCCGGGTGAATGACCGTCTCTGTCGTGTATGGATGGCCGGTCACGAGATCCTTCATATAGGTATCGCCGAGCGCTCTCGTCACAGCCAGGACGCCATTGACTCTGTTGTTGAGAATCAGGCCGCCGGCCTTGGAGATGCGAACACCCTCGTTTTCATCGCTGCCCTTGTGATCGTACGAAAGGCGCAGCGCCTTGCCGGATCGGCAGAGAATGATGCGAGCATCGCCCACGTTGGCCGTGTACAGGACGCGCTGGCGGAAAGCGGCACCCTTGAGCTTGGCGTGCGTCGCCTCGGCTGCAGCGTCCGTCTTGTTGTCGGTGGCCGCGTCCTCGGAACTCTTGGCCTTGCTCGCGGCAATTGTGGCGGGAGCAATGGCCTGGGATCCAGTGGCAGACCGCTCACTCGGGACCCGATCCTCCCAGCGCAGGACTGCAACCGCAGCCGTGCACCCGCTGTTCTTAAGCGGGAGCTTCTCAAGCTGTGCGTCGACTGTTGTGAAGGTCTGGTCGAGGAGTTCGGGGATGGGCATGTTTGGATTTCTCCGGATAATGTCCTCCAGAAGGATATGAAGTTTCTTGCCGCACCAATCAGCTGCAAAGGTGCCGGCATGACCGTCAAAAATGGCAAAGTAGCCATTATCCGTCTCGACCACGTCGTGATGCACGGGCTTGTCATCCACCTTGAGCTCGCCGATCTTGGTGTCGAGGGCCGGAGCGGGGGTCTGTAGGAAGTTGTAGAGAAAGGCGTGCGTGTCCTCCATGGTCCGACGGCATTTTTTGTTCCTATCTTCCCAAACGCCAACACGAAAAGTCGATCGGGGACCAGGGTGAGATTCGCCAGCCGAGTTGTTGTGAGGGCCTTGAGGCACAACGAGGGCTGGATCCTGCTTGCCAAGCTTCTGCAAAGGACTCTGGGTGGGAGCGTCAGAATGACTGCTGCCAAAGTTTAGAGTCTGCTTGGCCGATGCCAGAAGACTGCTAGCCTTGCTTTGGACACCGCTGGCACGACGCTTCTTGTCCGCCGAGCCGCCAGTGTCCTGTCTGCCGGGTGGGCTGCCATTGCCGCTCCTCTTATCGCCGCTGGCGGCTTGATCGGTAACCTTGACCGGGCCAGCGTCGGGCGAGGGGGCTTTACCACTGCCGTCGACTTGACCGTCGATGTCTTTGGGTTCCTTCGAGGCCGCCGGACTTGAGCTGCCGCCGAACATTCTGCTCAGCAGACCAGCTCCCTGGTTGGAGAGGCTGCGGCGCTTGTTGCCTGCCAGCTTTGTGGTTCGAAAGGAGGACAGAGCGAGATCGTTCGGGGCGAGGGCGCTGCGCTCAAGGGCTTCTGTGTTTGTATCGGATGCGGGGTTGCGTTGGTGTCGAGGTGAGATGGATGAGAAGCGTGGCCGACCGGCAAGAGGGGGGGGGGGGGGGGGTAAGGGGTGTTTCACGCGGGTCTTTCGGTAAGCGTCCGAATAGGCTGTCGAGGCCCAGACCCGTCTGCGCTGATTTCCCGTCGCGTCGCGTGGGTGTGACAAGTGTCTAAAGCAGTCTGATCAGCAAGAGAGCACCTTCAAGTTTGGCAGCCAACCGACGAGATACAGGATCAGTGCACCCCGTGTGTGGTTTACTTCTGATGTTGGAGAAGAGAGCCAGGGATGAGGGGGATATACTGTGGTGTGTAGTGGAGTGGCAGTAAAGCAATACTAGCGTTGGGTGGGGTAGGGAGGGTTGAACGTGGCAGATGGAAGGTGTGGTCCACTGGAGAGGCTCTGAACCACGATGTGAAAGGTGTTATGAATATGTGGTTGAAGTCGTAACAAGATGATTGAGACTGGTGTATGTTTGGATGACAGCGTGATGGTAGAGGCGACGAAGAAGAAGACCAGGTGTGTCGCCTAGAACATGGAAGACGACCACAGGTGACGTAGGTAGGCAGCGATTGCACTGGTGCCCGAGTGCCAGGTACAAGGCAGGCATGGCTAATCGAGCAAGCTAAGCTCACACGACTGTGCAAGGGAGGCGCTTACCGCAACGAGCTTGGGCCACAAGGTGGCGAACGCAACCACTCAAGTTTGGGTCTCACCAAGAATGCAAGCAACGAATGCAGCGATGGAGATTTACTGGGGGCTTGAGTTGCTTACTGACGAAACACAAACGTGACAAGATGCCAGTCATATGAGACGACGCTGCTGGACGGCGGGGAGCAAGCAGATGGACGTTAGAATCAGGGTCATTCCGAATGCTGCCAGATTGCGACCCATGGTGGCACGGGCTGACTCCAAAACGCCTAGCGCGGGGGTGGTTAAGTGGGTGAGGCTGCCTCCACCTGTGCCTCTTCTTGAAAGCTTGGCTAAGGCGAGGTTGCATTGTACCCCTCGAAAGTTTTCAGCACAGCATACAGACCCCCAACTCGGGGCTCAAGGCGCAATTCAGGCGTTATCCTCGGCCGTCTGTCCCTGGCCGAAATATGTGAAAAAATCTTAGCCCTGTGTGGTCTCCTGCTCCCCCCCGCGACACCCCTCAAGATGTTCCAGGCAAGGCCGACAAAGTTCACATCATGGGTGCCGTCCAGCGGTAGACCCGGCGACTCAAGACGCGGTGTGGTATCACTGAAGACTGCGCAACCACTATTCCGGAAGCGATCTTAAATATTCCCGACGATGCGAGGCAAAAAGACAACTGAATATCAGTTCGTTCGGCGCAAGCACAACAGGCAAAACGCCAGCTGAAATGCAACCTGGCACAATCCTCGTACTCCAAAACACCGCCCGCAAGTTCATGACTACCGTTCACTCTCTGCTGGCTAGCTCCACCAATGCATAGAGAGCCCTCACCGCCTGAGACTGTCAAGTCGTGCCTGTAGATCATCGTCCGCCCCGCCTCCGCCCATGCCGCCTTCGCCGCCAATGGCTTGCGCAACTCGTTGTTCCGGTACTGCGCTTGACTGCACGCCCGTGGGGGTCTCGCCGAGCTGCCACGCTGGTCAGTTTCGTAGTGAGTCTCCATTCGATCAAGTTGACGTACCGCGGAGTTGAGATCAATGCCAATCTCCTCCAACACTTGCTCAACCACCTCTTCCCCCTCCTCCTCCTCACCCACATCCATGGCATCATCGATCGCATCGTCCATCATCTCTTGCCTCTGCTCCATGACATCGTTCTCCCGCTCAAACTCCATGGCAATTCGTTGGAGTGCCGGCAAGTTCATCGAACGGTTCATGCTGCCAAGAGCAGTCGTAGCTCCCTTCATCGCCTGCATCATCTGCTCATTTGTGCGGTAGGTCTGATACGTAGGTTAGCTGACACGCGCACGGTAGATTGGCGGGGTAATCATGCCTGTAGGCGGAGAGAGATCTTTTGCAGCTGGCTGCGCATCGAATAGAACTTCTCAATATATCTGAATAATGTTAGCCCAATCCTGTCTGGCCTTGATACCGAGAGAACCCACCTTCGCGTACGCACGAGATCCTTGGCCTGGATCTTGCAAGCGCCCATTTGTCCCTTTTGCGCACTCTGTTTAATCTGCGTAACCAGCGTCTTCTCCTGCTTCTCCAGTTTGACTCGGATTTGGTCGAGCTCGCGAATCGCCTTGTCGAGCATGCGTTGGTTCTTGCGCAGGCGCTCCGCTGGCGTCATACGCTTCCCGAACATGTATTCCAGGATCTATACAGCCCACGTTAGCAACAAGCCGACTCTGTGCCTTTGAGGGTCCGCGACGCGGGCCGAGTGTCCTACATTCATCGTGGCGGTGAAGTGACTGGCGACACGAATACAAAGGTCGAGTATCCACGAGGCGCGGCCGAGATGGGTTGTTGTGTATGCCTGAAGCCTGGCGATGGAACTAGGAAGTTGGCGTTGAGGGCACTCTGCCAATGGACATGGGGTCGCCAAGGCACGCATCACCGGTCGGCCGGTGATAAGATAAACACATCTTATCAACCTGTTTGGACGCTTCCGAGCGATCTGTCAGCGTCACCGTGAGCCGCTGACCAATCAGAACCACTACTTACCTTGCAGTGGGGCAAATTTGCCGCTCTGGACCAAGAATCATGCAATGGCTTTGGGGACTGGATACCAGACGCAAAACATTCCCGATACATCCTTCAACCTACAAACGCACCCGACAATGCCGTCTTCCCTCGCGCAACCACAACTATGAGCCAGGACTACTTTTCCGGGAAGGGCAAGAGCCCAATGGGCCAAGAGGTCGAAAGCGACGATGCGGCGACCCCCAGCGCGCCCGAGCCATCATGGGCATCATCAACCAGCCGACCGCAATTCATGACCGTTGGCACAGGTTCAACATCTGCTCACGCCGCTCATCTCCAGGCGATGCTTGACCAAGACTCTGGGTACGGCGGCAGTGCCGATGGCGACTACAACACAAGACTTGCCCTCAACCACGCCACGCAACCTGATGTCGACCGCCGCTCGCCAGCCGGCGCCGTCTACCAGCTATGGTACAACGCACATCGCTCGGCGCTCGGTCGCTCGATCAGCAAGGTCGTCGAGCTCCTCAGGGAACTTCAGGAGATGAACGCCCAATGGCCCGCGCACTACCCGACTGTCCAACGAACCGAGGTCCCAGCAACGCCGAGAGGTCCCACGCGGCCTGGCTTCTCTCAGGCCCAGTCGACCATGGGCAACCCCCGAAGCTCCGAACCATCTTCGCCCGTTTCGCCGCCGATGCTGCGACGATCCATGACCACGGCTGCTGACGCGCACGAGGAAGCTGAGTCCAGCAGGGCTCAGGACAGAAGGAGGACAGCGGACGAGCCACGGCTGGTGACACCGCAAATCGCCCAAGACTTTTCCATCCTAAAGCTCGACCTCAAGCTGGGAGCGCTGCACCAGGCAGAGCTCGTTCACTCGCTTGAAAAGAGCTCCATTGCGTCGCTACTGGATGGCCAGATCAGTTCGAGCATCCGGCACCTCATGAGTCTGCGCGATCGCATCGAAGACACGTCCAGCAAGGTTCTCGTCACTGGCGACCTGAACGCGGGAAAATCAACCTTTTGCAACGCGCTGTTGCGGAGAAAGATTTTGCCCGAGGACCAGCAGCCCTGCACTTCCATATTTTGTGAAGTTTTGGACGCTAGGGAGAACGGCGGAATGGAAGAAGTACACGCCGTGCACAAAGACGCAACATACGATCGACACGATGAATCCACGTACGACGTCTTCAAGTTGGCTGCACTCGAAGATATTGTTCTCGACAACGTTACCTACACCCTATGTAAGGTCTACGTCAAGGACGTGCGGACCATTGACGAATCACTGCTGAACAATGGCGTGGTGGACATTGCGCTCATCGACGCGCCTGGCCTCAACTCGGACACAACCAAAACCACAGCCGTTTTCGCGCGTCAGGAAGAGATTGACGTTGTCGTATTTGTCGTTTCAGCGGCCAACCATTTCACCATAACCGCCAAGGAATTCATCTGGGCAGCAGCTAAGGAGAAGGCCTATCTCTTCATGGTCGTCAACGGATTCGATGTCATCCGGGACAAGGCGAGGTGTGAGAAGACGATTCTCGATCAAGTTGACTTACTCAGCCCAGAGACCGGAAAGGAAGCGTCGGAGCTCGTGCATTTTGTGTCAAGCAACGCTATCCCTACTGGTCCGCCTCCAGGCGCCCCTAGCGGTGGCGGTGGCGGCGGCAGCGGCAGCTCAAGCGGCGGCGGTGGAGGTGATGATCCCAGCGATGATCCCAAGGGCAAGGGCAAGGACATTGAGAAACTTCGCAGCTTCGAACACCTTGAGCAGTCTCTGCGCAGGTTCGTCTTGGAAAAGCGCGCCAGGTCCAAGTTAGCGCCGGCCAAGACGTATCTGCTCAATATTCTCAACGACGTCAATACACTAGCCAATGTGAACACCGACGTGGCACAAGGAGAGCTTGATCGAGTTACAGCGGAGCTGCGCGATATTGAGCCTCAGCTTGAGACCAGCAGGAGAGCCAAGTCTGAGGTTGGCGACGAGATTGATAGGACCATCGAACATACATGCAAAGAGGTTTATGACCACACGAGGAGCACGCTGACCTCCGCCATTGAGCACGCTGGCGACAACAACCATGGTGTCGAGTATCCTGGCATTTTTAGCGCCTTTGAGTATGCGGCAGAGCTCAAGGAGGCCATGATGGCTCACATTTCTGAGTCGGTTGCTCTGTGCGAGCAGCATGCCCGGGATCGGACGGTCGGCGGAGTCAACGCAATCAAGCA